ACACACACACACACACACACACACACACACACACACGCACACTTCTGATTTCAGTGTCACTGCACATGCTCATGCAAACACAACAGAGCATACACACAATCCCAGTGAGCGACTCACAGATATACAGTAGGTCACATGCTCAAAGCTCATTTATAATCTACTTTCTGTCTTAAATGCAGTGTATGTGAACTGTTTCATGAATGAAATGCAGTACAGCCCTCATCAGCACACACACACACACACACACACACACAACCTTCATATACACAACATCATGCACATCCACATTGATGTACACATGAGCTCTGATCACGTCATCGGCGGACATCCTGTGTGACCAGCTGCTGGGGGAGAACTGATGCTCCAGGTCCTGTCAAAAACAACACAGACGGGCACGCATTTACCCAGAAACCCTCAGTGCACAGATAAACAAACACACACACAGCGGCACCTGCTGGAGAGACACTGTCCTTATAGCACACTGACACATGACGGAATAGCACACTACACTCACTATTTCTGCAGTATGCAACATGCAAACAGTGCACAGCACGGGAATTATCTGTATGCATGCAATACTCGGATGATTTATTATTTTGGACCAATTTTGTGCAGAATAAAACAGTGCACATAATGTAGAATACTATTATATACTATCTATTTATTTATTTATATTTAAATTTCAAAATAAAATATTAAAAATTAATTTAAAATGTAAAATATTTTATATTAATATATATAACAAATAAATATACACAATGTTATTAATTAAAAACACAAATAAAATTAAACATGCATAACAGTGAGATCATATCCAGGGTAAATTATAATTTTTAAAAAATCATTACTTGAAAAAAAATACACTTTAGCTGAAATAAAATAGATTATACAAATATTTATTTCAGCTAGTTGCCCAAGCAATATTTCTCTTTCTCACATTTTTAATTTGAAAATGTGAGAAAACTAAATAAATTAAAACGTAATAAAAAAAAACATATAGCCATAAAAACTAAAACTAATAAAAATGACAAAAATGTAACTATAATTTAAATAAAAATATAAAACACTTCAAGTCATATCAAAACAAAGTTTGAAACATTTATTCTTGCATACTGTTTGACATACTAATCATAACTGTATACTGCAGTTTATAAGAAGTATATACTCACATTCAGTTAATAGTGAGCTAGTTTTCAAATAGTTTTTAGGTCACATATAGCAAGTTTCCTCCTTCCTATACAGTTTAGTTGCTTGTCATAAATGCTTTTTAATTATTATTAATAAATAAATAATATATATATTTAAAATATCTCATTATACGTGCCAGAACGAATGTTTAGCATTTTATGAACACATTTCATAATCGACAATCACTTCTTCAAAACTCTAGTGTTGTGTATTTTATAAATAATCATTAATTTGACAGTCAAACACTCACGTCTTTGCTCATTTTCCTCCAGTCGCTCATGATGATATTCTCTGCTGCACTAGAGACCTTTGAAACTGTGTGTGTGTGTGTGTGTGTGTGTGTGTGTGTGAGAGAGAGAGAGAGTGTGTGTGTGTGTGTGTGAGAGAGAGAGAGAGAGAGAGTGTGTGTTACGTGTCGTTATCTGAGGGCTTGGTGTGTTTGTGCTGCAGGAGCACGATGGAGGCCGTTCCTGCCAGCTGTCTGCGAGACGTCTGGACTCTGGCGCTGCAGGCCTGCGTCATCGGCATCGACGAGGGACAGTTTGTATGTTTCCATTCCACTCGCTTCAGTCATTATCCAGCTCACTTTATGCATTGTAATGTCCCGATTATTAATTGAGATGTTTGGCTTTTGCAGTTTCCAGACACAGTTGAGTTCTGTGAGGAAATGGCCAACATGGGAAAAACCATCGTAGTAGCAGCACTTGATGGAACCTTCCAGAGAAAGGTGCGATGATGAGAGATCTGGGTTGCGTTTTTCTTTACCCCATTTTATATAAATTCATAAAATTTATATTTATAAACAATTATTTATTTGCATATCTATATAAATGGGTTTAAGTAAATATTTATGTAAATGCATACATAATTATATAGGTTTCTACAAAATTATATAACAATAAATAAACATTTGCTTATTTATATAAATAATACATATTTATACAATTTGCTTATTTTATAGATGTTTGTTACATACATTTAAATATATTTACATGAGTACTATTTATATAAATATTTCTACAAATTTATATATACTTATATTTACACAAATACACTTATTTATGTAAATATTTCTACAAAATTCTATGTTTATATAAATGTTTATATAAATATTTCTATATATACATTTACATAATTATTTTATTTATATAAATGTGTTCAAACCAAATTGTGTAATATATACTTGTAATATATATACTTGTAGTATATGTGTAATATAACTTGTTTGTTTGCTGGTTTTTATTGTATTGTTATACTTGTATTTTTGAATCGCTTTTGCCATGAAAATAGCCTTTGATGCCAGCCCTCTACGGACACCTTGGCAATTGAATCGCCATTGGCTAGTAAATGTTTTTGTTTACTCGCCAGACTGATTAAAAAAATTAAATAAATATATATATATATATTAGTACAGTTTCAGATATTTATAAAAGTGCCATTTTACAAACATATATATATATATATATATATATATTGATATGACAAGCGCTCAGCGTGTCCGATCTGGCTCACGCTAGCCAGAGTGCGAAAGCGGATTTAAATTCAGCAGTTGATGACGTGACGCACTGAACGTTCTAATCACACCGGTGTGATCGTACGCGTCAAAGGGTTAATGATAGAACTTTAGTCATAAGAATTAAAACTTGATAACCATTTACGAATGCATATTTGTCATTTTAACTGAACCTCTCGCTGCGTGTGTGTGCAACAAAGCGACGGGGAGTCGTGCGCCTTCGCACTAGAGTTTACGGTACGTTAAATACAGGTGCGTTGCACATCCATACAGCACAGATCGCTTGACGGAGAGTGAAACTCTGAAGCGCTCAGTCAGAGTGTTCTGTGAGTGAAAATATATCTGTGCTACACTTAACCTCCAACTCACACTGGCGAGTAAAATCTGAGAATTCATTAGCCAGTGGCTAATATTAGACATCATTTAGTCGCCCAGAGTAAGATTTAGTCGAATATGCGAGTGATTTACTCGTAATGTAGAGGGTTGGATGCTGACGTGGCATTAAATAAAAATACTACTACACACATGTACAGGAGTATGTAATATGTTTCTTAAAATGTATAATAAATAGTGTTTATATAAATTAAGTACACATAATTATGTATAAGTATTTATACAATTATATATAGCATTTATATAGATTTTTGTATATATAAATGTATATTTGTGTAGATGTATATTCATATACATTTACATAAATACATGAATAATTTATAAACATTTTTATAATAGTTATATATTTTTATTTGTATAAATATTTTTCTTAAAATGTATATATTTATGGGTCAAAGACGAAAAAGGGTTTCAAAAAAATTTATATACATTTTCCCCTGATTTTCAGAAGAGACCCACTAAAATATCATTCAGTGTAACAATCTTGTCAGGCATATTTACAACAAAAATCAATTTATGACATATTAAAAGACTAATTTCTTTCACCCCAAATACTAATTAGCTGTAATTTTACATTTTTAAAATGTGCCACTATTCTAGGTTTTGCCCATTTGTCAGTAAGAATTTTTTACTCCTTTAAAACCCAATCAAATTTAATATGCTCTCTTATTATTTTATATATTTTAATATGTACACGTCAGAATAAGCATGTTTGAATTTTTACATAGTGTTACACTGAATGACAACGTAACATTATTTCAACCAAATTGTAACATTATTCTCCAAAAACTTAAAAGTAGACACTTTGCTTACATTTAATGTGCTATGGACATATAATCACGTTTTATGAAATTTCTTTTGATGCGGACATCTTAACGTCTTTGACCCTTATATAAACATGAATATATTTAAATGTTTGTATAAATATTGAGCAGTGTTGATGACCTTCGACCCTTGTGTCTGCAGGCCTTCGGTAATATCCTGAATCTGGTGCCTCTAGCGGAGAGCGTGGTCAAGCTGAACGCCGTCTGCATGCAGTGCTTCAAAGAAGCCGCTTACACCAAAAGACTCGGCGCTGAACAAGAGGTGAGGACAAATATCTCCATCTGGACACACACACGCTGTGCTTTACTTGTGCTCCGTGTCACATCCTCATCCTGTCAGCAGAAGTGAAACCTCACGGCATCTTGTGTTTGGTTCGCTCAGGTGGAGGTGATCGGCGGCGCTGATAAGTATCACGCAGTGTGCCGAGAGTGTTACGGAGGTCTCGTGGCGTGTAAAGAGAACTGCGATCCGCAGAGAGAGGAGACGCCGCCACATGTGATGTCAGGAAAACAGCCCAATCAAAGCGCTCCACGAAAACTCTTCGCTTCCCTTCATTTATGAGAATAACACCGTCGTACCGCTACAGAAAACATTTTCTTCCTTAGTATTTGTGTCTTGCTTTCTAGTATAAACTTGAATTTACTTGACAATTAAAATGACTTGAGATACTTTCAAAATATATAAAAAATCTAAATTTTGTTAGTTTTTGCTTAAAAAAAGCTATATGTCAAAGGGCTAAGAAAAATGATCTTAACAAGGTTATTTTTCTTACCCCATTGGCAGATATTCTTGCTTGTTTTAAGTAAAAACTAACACAATTTTGATTTTGATTTTTTTCAGAAAAAGTAATTTTACTTGTCAAGCAAATACATCTTAATTCCAGAATTTGTAGACATTTATACTAGAAAACAAGACAAAGATACTAAGGAAGAAAATCATTTTTTGCCGTGTGTTACAGTAGCACTGTTACTACACTTAACTCACTAGAGAGAATTTAGATACTTGTATTTTTTAATGCCTTTTCTGCTGTTGATTTTGTCTGTGTATATAATAACTTTAACTCTTCGTTTAAAGCGGGTCCAGCATAATATGGTGAGTTTGTATTTTCAGTTTAAAAATGAGTCGATCATTTGTACGTGTTTTAATTTAAACCATTTTAGACTAATTTATAATTGTGTAACCGAACAAGCAGCTGACACCATGGAAAACTGCCAACGAGTGAAAAATGAGAGTAAATAAAGTGATTTTGGTTTTTCAGTGTTGCTTTTCGTGTGCATGTTACAACAGAAATATTTTACATTCATGCATTTAGCAGAATACAGGATAAAAAGTAATTCGTCAAAGAGCCGAAAATAGCTGTAATATACAAATGTTGGGTTTGTTGGACGACTAGATGAGAAACGCAGAAGTCTTGCCTTCTGTGAAATTGATCAAAATGAAGTGAGTTTGATTGAAACAAATATCTGCTAATTGTCTCAGGAAAATCAACTTGGTTAAAAGGAAAAACAAGTTTTCGTTACACACTGACTGGTCATTTGTTCTTGTTTTAAGCATAAACACTTCATTTTACGTTTGCATTTCAAGTAAATGTATCTTGATTTGAGGATGTTTAGTACTGGAAAACAAAAATGCTGAAGAAGACATTAATATTTTTTTGTAATGCATGCAAACTTTAATGCCATGACTATGAATTTAAAACTTTCTGCTTTAATTTTAATTTATTATACAATTAACAAAAGCAAAAAGACCTCTAGCACTAGCTTGCGCTATTCTTTTTCTATCTGTTTTCTATTTATTATATTATTTAAAAAAAATCTTGCTACGTGTACTGTTAAGCTAACAGACTTGTTATAGCGCTTGTATATCATTTGATTATATTACTTATTTCACTTCTGCTTTAATTTTAATTTATTATACAATTAACAAAAGCAAAAAGACCTCTAGCACTAGCTTGCGCTATTCTTTTTCTATCTGTTTTCTATTTATTATATTATTTAAAAAAAATCTTGCTACGTGTACTGTTAAGCTAACTGAGACTTGTTATAGTGCTTGTATATCATTTGATTATATTACTTATTTCACTTGATTATTATTAATGATTTTGAGGGAATTTTATGGTACTATGCAATATTTATACAATTTTAACGAGCTATTTTCTCTATTAGAATTTATTTATTTTTTACTATTTTTTAATAAATGCAATATTTCAAATTACATTTTTTTTTTTAAGGCATTTAAAATCAATTTTTTGAAGTGAGAATTGGAACATCTGGAGGCATTAAAAAATAAAAACTTGTGTAATGTTGTGTAACCTCTTGTATTAGCACCCTATATAGATAAATATACAGAAGCTTTTCGATTCCCGTTGTTTTTTTAGACAATTTTATTTTTTTTAGGTTTTGCGTTTAGATATATCTAGACATTCTAAAACTACTTTTTGTCAAGGTTTAGATATTGTTGGTTAGATAAGTATCAGGTTTTACATTATGATTACAGTCAAACATGAATAGTGATCATTCAAAACACTATACAAACATTTTGTAATTAATATTTTATTCAATGTAATTCAATAAATGTTAATAAAACAGAACAGAAATGAACATTTTTTTTCATATTTCCCATTAATTTCCTATGTCGGTCATTTTTGACCACAAAGAAGTCAAGTGTGACTTTTTTTTTTTTTGACTCTTAACATCCGAATCATGTCCGTGATTTTTTGTGCGTGTTCATATTGCTAATGTGACAAAAGTCACCCAAGTGTCATCTGAAGCTAAGATTTTTAAAATTTCAAAATATAAAATTTTTCGGGTCAAAAATGACCGAAGAGGGCCAGAGCGTTAAGACTTTTCAAGGCCCACAAAAACCCTGTTCATAGATGTCTAAAAATGAGATTTCATATCCAAGGGGTTGCATTTATTTATTTTTTATTTAGAATACAAACCATTGTTTTTGTTTGAAGAGAAAACTCAGAGAAAACTGACAACAAAAAAAAAACTTTTAATCTGTAATCTGAAGATGCACAAAAAGCAAATGCTAAATCCATTAAGCAAACTGCAAATCAAACAAACATTGGAAATAATTCAATTAATTTCTTAAATTATTATTTTTTTAAATACTCATGTATGAATGTGGATTAATAAACTTCATCAAATCAATGTTGTATGGCAGATAAACCAGAAAAACGAATCAAACAGCACCACAGATCAGCATCACAGTGTGCTTATGTGGATCAGTGAACGTTTTCACATCGAGAGACACTAACAAAACCAGATCTAGCCACACAAGAAATCATTTTTTTCACATTAAATCAGATGTTTTCAGATCTGGAAGCATATAAAAGCATCACAGATGATTTACAACCTCCATCACAGCTTGACTGGATGTTTAAACATGTAATCTGGTAACTCTACCACATTTCTACAGTGAATCACACCAGCTCTTCATTCACTAACACGATTAGTAAACGGGGTCAATGGGCTCTTTTTGTTTCCGCCACATTCCTATTCATTCAGCTGGGAAAACGTTAACAAAACACACAAGCGCTGCTGTGATTCCAGTGTGAGCGACAGACCTGCTCCACAATAATTTATCGTTTTATTCCAGCTCATCAGTGCAAATCTGAACTCATCTACAGCCACGTAAGAAAACAATATTTACACATTTAAAGGGATAGTTCACCCCAAAATGAAAATGCTGTTATTAATTACTCACCCTCGTGTCGTTCCAAACCCGTGAGACCTTCGTTCATCTTCAGAACACAAATAAGATATTTCTGATGAAATCCGAGAGCTCTCAGACCCTGCTATAGGCAGCAAGGCAACTGAAATGTTCCCAGACTCCAGAAACGTAGCAAGGACATCGTTAAATCAATCCATGTGACATCAGAGGCTCAACTTCAGTTTTGCGAAGCTACGAGAATACCTTTTGTGCACAAAGAAAACAAAAATAATGACTTTATTCAACAATTCTTCCCCCCCCCGAGTTACATCTCCATTTTAGAGAGTATCACAATGTATACGCACGCTTTCCCCTAAGCGTAAACAATTACGTTCATGTGCGCGCTTTCTCCTCCGAACGTAAACAACGCTGATTACGTCGATTACGTACTTAAGGTACTCTCCAAAATGGCGGAAGACGTAACTCGGGGGAGAAGAATTGTTGAATAAAGTCATTATTTTTGTTTTCTTTGTGCACAAAAGGTATTCTTGTAGCTTCGCAAAACTGAAGTTGAGCCTCTGATGTCACATGGACTGTTTTAACGATGTCCTTGCTACGTTTCTAGGGTCTGGGAACATTACAGTTGCGTTGCTGTCTATGCAGAGTCTGAGAGCTCTCGGATTTCATCAGAAATATCTTAATTTGTGTTCCGAAGATGAACGAAGGTCTTACGGGTTTGGAACGACACGAGTAATTAATGACAGAATTTTCATTTTTGGGTGAACTATCCCTTTAAGGCCACATGTTAAATGCCAAACAGTCTCCTATTGGCTGCCTGCGGCGTCACGTGACCTGGTGTCGTGTTTCAGGTTTCTGTGCAGGTCAGGGGTCAGTAGACAGGTGGCTGGTAGCTGCTCTGGCCGGATGGGTCAGGGTTCGGTGCAATAGGCGGCTGCTGGAAGATGTCTGGACCGGTGTTCTGGAAGGATGGATATGTGGGTGGTGTGTAGGTGGTGGGATACGGTGAAGTGGGGTCCGCTGGCGGATCGACGTAGTTCTGGGTCACGTCTGCAATGCCCTGACGAAACCTTATCAGGGCGAAGTACGTTAACGCTCCCTGAGAAGACGAGAGATTCGACTGTCAATCAACGACTTGAAGTGGGATTTTGAACTTTACAATAATCAAGGTTTTTTATAAATGTAGTTTTTTGGAAGACACCACAAGTGAGCGGGGTGAAAATGTGAACTAATCAATTTCACTATACACAGTCAAACCGAAAAATTATTCAGACAGCAGATATCATTTTTGATATTTTTTTTTACTAGTGGGTGCAGGACACTATAGTTAATTTATGTAAGTGAGGATAGCAAAATAAAGTTAACTGTGACAAATCCTACCCAAAAATTCTTCATACAGTGGACTACCAGTAAAATTTGGGATCAAAAACTATCCAGTCACTTTGACCTGAGCATGTTTTATTTCATACCTTTCTATCAAAGTTATCTGACATTATCAAGATGAATTTGTTCTGACACATTTTAACTCATATTTTATTACCATTTTCTAAACTATAGCCAATAAACTGATATAATGTGAGAAATGTTGAAGGTGTCTGTATATATTTTGGATTGACTACTTCCTACAGTTGATTAATCACAGTACATTAAGACATTAAGTATTGTACTACAAGTTTTCTGAGATGTTATATTTACATATGCACTTGAATTTTCAGAAAATAAATATGAATATTGGATAAAGCCAGACTCAAAATTCTGGTCTGATATTGTTGACAGGATACAGTTAAATGGAAAGCTTATTTATTCAGCTTTCATATAATGTATAAATCTCAATGTTGAAAAATTGACCCTTATGACTGGTTTTGTGGTCCAGGGTCACATATTACAGTTAAAGGTTTTTACTGAGGGGATTTTGGATTTCTCTTTTTATCACTCCATGAATCAGACAATAGTTTTTAGGAGTAAAATATTATATAATTCGGTGTGAGTGATATATGAACAAACCCCACAGTAAAAACCTTCAGAATATAGAGAGGAA